ACTCTTGTTAAATTACAGAAAACTGGGATATGAAGCAATCTAGTTATGTTTCTGAATATGAAATTCCCAGAAAAAATTTTGGCATGCTGATTCTTCTTTGATTAGATTATGCTCTCTTCTTTTTAAAAATGTTTTTAAAAGGATAAAACACTGTTTGAAATGTTTTTATAATGTTTTAGTTACCATTAGATAGTGGAGAGTTTATGTTTAATGTATTTCAAAATTTTGTTTTCCTTTTTATCTGACCCTAGATTTAGATTTTTTGTGTGTGTTAAAGAGAAACAAATAACAATAAAACAAGAGTTTCAAAACAGGTTAGTAGGAGAGTTACAATACTTAATACATTGTGTATTATTATCAGCACAGTACTCAGAGTACAAGACATAGCCATGGTATCTTGTCCAAACAATACTAGCACGAACCTTTCCAATGAATAAGAGAAACTAGTTGTATAACTATATTAACTATCTTATATATAAATATATATTTTTCTTTTTCTCTTTCTTCCTTTCTCTTTTCACCCATCACAGCTTGTCTTTTCTTTTGAATGGTTTCTTCCCAATTCAAAATATTTATTGTACAATTTGGATTTCATTTGTTTGTCCAATTTCTCATACTGATGAGACAATATGATGTTTACACATGTGAGTCTGATTTCACTTATGAATATAGTCTTGAGTTGTATCCATTTACCTATAAAAGTCTCTAGTTTATCCTTTATTGCTGAATAGTACTCCATTATATAAAAAACTCACATCTTTTTTATCCATTCCTTTGTTGATGGACAACTGTGTAGTTTCTAGGATTTAGCTATTACAAATTGTGCTGCTATAAACATGGGTTCACATATGTCACTGTGGTATGATGTTTTTCATTCTTCCAGAAGGGGAAAAGCTGGGTAAAATGGGATCTCTAATCCTAGTTTTATGAGAAATCTTCATGCTGATTTACACAGTGATTGCACCGGTCTACACTCCTACAAACAGTGGAGGAGGGTTCCTTTTTCCACACAGCCCTTCCAGCATTTGTTATCAGATGATTTTTTGATGATAGCTTCTCTTCCTGGGGTAAAATGAAATCTCAGTGTTGTTTTAATTCACATTTCTCAAATGACCAAAGATACATTTTTTCATATATTTGTTTACCATTTTTATTTCTTCATCTGAGAATTGTGTCCATCTCAGATGCTCATTTTTGAATTGGGTCTTTGAATTTTGGGAGCTGATTTTTAAAAATTCTTTATGTGTTCTATATAGAAATCCTTTGTGTGAGGGATAATTGGCTAAAACTTTTTCCCATTTTGTGGTTTTTCTTTTCACTCTGTTGGTGATTTCTTTTGAAGTGCCTAAACTTTTTAATAAGATGAGATCTCAGTTGTTGGTTCTCTGAAGTACTTCTCATCCAGTATAGTTTTTGTTCATAACCTCTCTACCTAAGCCTATATCTTCAAGATTTCTGTTTAGTCTTCCAGTAGATTTGGTGTTTATATTTTAATATTTAGATCTTTGGTCCATTTTGTCTAGTTTTAGTCTTCAGCATGTGGAAAGCCAGTTTTTGCAGCACTTTCTTCCAGTGAACATGTTTGGTTCCTTTGTCAAAGATAACATGGCCAAATGTGTTTGGAATTGTGTTTTCATCTTCAAATCTATTCCACTGACACTCAAGCATGTTTATTTCTTTGGCAGTAGCATGCTGATTTTATCATGGAAGCTTTGTAATATAATTTCAAGTCAGTGTTTGTGATGTCCCCTGACTTGCCTTTGTTGTCCAGAATTGCTTTTGCTATTCCAGGTCTCTTCTGGTTCCAAATGAATTTCAGAAATGTTCTCTTCAGATCTGTGTGGTATGCTAATGGTATTTTGATTGGCATTGCATTGTAGATTTAGATGTTAATTGCTGTAAGATTTCCCACAAACATAGTAAATCTGTTCTCTTTGTTTCTCTCTCCCTCTCTGCTGCTCTTCTCTCCATTCCTTACATAACTCTATTTTGAGTGTGTCTTTAAAGAATACTTTTAGGTGTACTCTACTTATTGTTACTTTTTTTTTTTTTTTTAAAAAGACAGCACTTAAATCTCTTTGTTACTTTAAGCATTGTTTTCATTATATCCCATAGGAACCGATATGATGTGTTTTGATTTTTACAGTTTTCTAAACCATGTGCTATGCATTCATTTTTCTCTTGCCTGAGTTTCTATGTAAACAATACTTCTACATTTCCCAGTGTACTGCATTGGTGTTTCCTTAAAATTCTACAATTAATTTAAACATTCTATACATTATATTTAAATTGTTTTAAATGATATAATCACATAAAACTTATGCAGAAAGATGGAAAAGCAAATTCCTTTATGCTAAGATGAATATTTAGGGAAATTTGGTAAGTTTTATCAACTTTATCCATGTATAAACCTATTTTTGTGGAATTGTACATATAAGTTTTTTTTTAAAAAAATCTGTAACTTTTGTCATAGTTTACTTTTATAAATTTCTCTTAAATCAGTTTTTCATTTGCCATTTATGTCATAAGCATACCTCATATTGCTGCATAAGTATTTATAATTTTTAATTCTGTTGGGACACATAATATTCTAATTGAATATTCTTGTTGAATGTGCTAAAACTTGATATTTTTATCATAAGATATTTAATTTTTTTCTATTTATGGGCCATGATAAATTATGCCATATTGAATTTATAACATCTTCTCTGTTTTTGATTATTTCTTTAAAGCAAAATTGCATAAATAGAATTTTGGCACAGACAGCATGAATATTTTTATGATGCATAATATAATGCCAAATTGTTTTCCTAAAATGTTGAAGCATTTAAAAATGCAATCAGAAAAGTGTGAGGGTATCCATTTCTTTATTCCCTTGCCAGCGTGAGATTTTATCATTTAAAACCATTTTTTCTAATTGAAGAGATTTAATGTGTTTAACCTGCATTTTCTTTCATTTTTATGTGTGTTTATATGCATCATTTCCTATTTTCTGAATTATTTGTTCATGTCCTTTGACATATTACATATTTATTTGGCATAACATACATTATTTTTATTTGACTTTAATAGTTTTCACTAAAACATCAATGTGCTTTGTCTATTCATACACTATATTTTATGTCTCTAAGATATAACTTTGAAGCAGTACACTGATCAACATGACGAGAGCAAGTTCTGATGTGTGCTATTCAATACAGACTTTAGAAGACATACACAGTGGGACTTACATTCTTACATATTTTTATAACCTATATTAAGTTCATAGCATATGTTGCAAAAATTCTATGATTAATCTCTAAAACTTATATAAAAATATAATAGTCACCCTATGGGCTGAGAAATATAATAGGCACCACTAAACTGTGGCTTGTCGGTAACAGTCCTTTTTATGTGATTTATCAGTTTCTTTGTTGGGTTGCTTACAAGAGAACCACACCTCCTTGAATATTGGAAAAATATATTATTATTATTATTATTAGGAAAGCTACTATGGACCACTGTCTTGGAATATGGAACAACTGTTTTGACCATGGCAATCTCGACCCTGAGGGTCCAGATGTGTGCCCTGTGCATCTGGCCATCCTTTCTGGAGTGCAGGCTGTTGCAGCCAGCAGGAAGGCCAGGAAGTCTCTCCAAGCAGACTGTGCTGTTGCAGCTGCTGCACTTGGTGTTTCTGCTTTGTCTTCTCATATCCTCCATGAAGTCCTATTTTTTTTTTTTGGCCGAACATAAAATCCAAGAGTGGTTACAGTCCAGGTTGAAGGTTTGCTTTGCTTTCGGAATTTGTTCTCCCACCACCCCTGCAGCAACACTCCTCTGTGGCTCGTGAGCTACTTAGAGAAAAGTAAAAACAAAAGCAGCAGTATTTTTGGAAGTAGATTCTGTTTGCAGTTCTTTGTTCCATATTCAGTTTGCCCTGTGGATTGCCGGGGGGATCAAAGCCAGGGACACCAATTTCCATCTGGACGCTAACACTTAACTTGCTACAGAGCTCTTGCAGTTGAGAGAATGAATGTAGGTTCACACAGTACTTAGAAAAGTGTCTGGCATACAGTCAACTCTTAATAAATGGAAGCTATTATCTTCTGTATATAGGTTACTTCTGTTCCTTAAGTTCTCCCTGGACAGTGTTTCCATGTGATCACCAACAGTTGCTTGCTAGAAACTGCAGCGATGAAATGAAAAGCAAGCCAAGTTGAAATACATGTTTAATGTATTCAATATTTTAAAAAAATTAGCTCTCTTATTTATTGGGGACCTGGGCAAGATCTTCTGTATGAAGGGTACAGCAAAAGGATGAAATAAGAAACAGAGACAAATTTAGTAACACATGATGGGCGGCTGGAGGTCAGTGCCTTAGGATTGGCAGAGACCAAGATACTCCAAAGCAGCCAGTATTTATTGGGTGAATATAATGTAGGAGGACTGGCAGAAGATTCGAGGTCAGCAGATGATTCAGAGATTGATGACTTGGTAGGCAACGCATAATCCTGGAATGACTCAAGAGGGTGGAGATAATCTTATACTAAGAAGGATCTTGCCCTAAGTATTCTTTTTAATCTCAGTAGCTTTAGTTTAGAGGTTGAGAGAAGATGGTCTATCCTGAAAGAGTTAATGGGAAGTCTCAAACGGGTGATACCATAATCCCAAGCCTCCATTTATCTCTCTGGGAAGTATGCAAAATTAGCCATTGTGAATTTGTGGTCTCCAACATCTATTATTTTGAACTTTTCTTTGAATTATTTTTAACTTTTTTTTCACCAAAAGCACAGGGAAATAACATTTCTTTGTTATCAATTTTAAACAATAAAGAGTTAAATTCATATTGGAGTGGAAGCCTAAGCTTTATAACCTGTAGAGTGTTGAGCACACCATAAGTGCCAGTATACAGTAATATCTGAAACTTAGTGTTTATTCCAAGTGGAGTTGTCAGTGCTTTAAGCTACAGCAATGCATCAATCCTTTAGCAATACATCAGACACATCTGTGAAGTTGGCACCAATATTGTCTTTATTTTATAAGTGAGAAAGCAGAAATATGGATAAGGCCATATCGAATTCAATCAAAGATGTATATTCTTAAGAATCTTTATGAATATCTGGGCATAATGATGCATGTCTATAATCCCAGAACTCAGAAAGTGGAGGCAAGAGGACTGCCACGAGTTTGAGGTCAGTATGAACCACCTAGTGAGTTCAAGGCCAGCATGCACTACAAAGTGAGATTGTCTCAAAAACAAAAACAAACACACAAAAAACAAAACAACTGTGACAAAAATAATCTATATGAATAAATGACCCATTTTGAAAGTTAAAAAAGTCCTGACAAAATCAGGTGGATAGGAGTTAAAATAATAGCTATCATAGACAGGATCTTACATCATAGGATTAAGAATAATAAATGAGAATACTCAGTAATTTCAGAAATGTAGATCATTGGGAACTCAGTTTTAGAAGACTAAATCACTTTGTAGAACAGTCTCAGCATCTGGTGGTAGGTGAATATGGGGGTTCCCAAGACGTGGCAGTTCTACTTACTGGGAAATATCAGGGAACCTTTTATACAGTGTTTAAGAACATATACAACAACATTTCTTGTAAGAATGAAATACTTGAAAGAATGAGAACATTTTTTTGGAATGAAAAGCTAAATTGTGCCATTATTATACAATGCAATAATATATAGAAGCCAAAAAAGAATGAATTAGAAGTACGTGTCTCAAACATTTGTGGAACAGAATTCAGAGCAGAGAGAATCAAATTACTGAATGATCTCTACGGTATGCATGATACCATTATAAAATAGGTACTATTAATAATTATACTCTATTGTCTTCAAAAATAGGTATCAAAAATGTGGATACATGTTAACAGTGCTTTTTATGACAAATCTATGCTTATGGGCAATGGCATAGTCCTACAGAAACAGAAGATTGCGTTGGCTAATAAATCAGTGAAAAAAAGTTGAATGTGCATTTATATGTGCAAATATGTATATTAGGATCTGCTTTGTCTTTGTAAGACAGAATCTTTTTGTCAATGTCTTATGCTGAATAACTACTTTGAAGATAATGACACAATGTATTAACAGTTATTATTCTCTTATTTTGTCATGAGACTTTTTTTTCATTAAATAAATGAAGCACTTACATGTTTATAAATGTATGTATATTTACAGATATAAAATGTTAAGAATAGGCTTGATTTTAAATGTTTCACTTTATACATCATCTAATGGGATATATTTTCCCTTTTCATTGAGTAGTTGACAAAAATCTGTATTTAAGATTTATACTACTGTGTTTTGAGATACATATGTGTTGTGAAATGCTTACTACAATCATACTAATTAACAAATTCATCACCTCACAGACTTACAAAAATTCTTAATTTTCTGTATTTAGAAACATTCTCTAGTAGAACAAGTCAAAAATACCCTTAAATAAAAAACAGAATAGAAATAGAAAATGTTGGTAGATATTTTGAACCAGTGACATAAATTGTCTTGGAAAATGGAAAACAAACATGAATTTTATATTGTTTTTTCCTTTTCCTTTGAACTTTTTACTTCCAAAAGAGTTTTCTGCTAAGTAAAAAAATGTCAGTGAGCTGGGTGTGATGGTCTACACCCGTAATACCAGCATTCTGGGGTGCTGAGAAAAGAAAATCGCAAGATTGAGCCCCGCCTGGACAGCTTAGCCATTTAGCAGCGTATCGGTCTGTGGGAAGGCCCTGTATGCAATGCTAAGTATCACCAAAAAGGATTAACATACGATGAAATAAATAGTTGTTGGTTATATCCTTCTACAAATGACAGAAATGGAAAAAGCAGCAAAAATCAGACAACAACTAAAAAGCCCAACCTGGCAGTGGAGGTGTATTGATCCATATTGATGCTCTGTAGATGAACTGCTCCATGTCTCCCATTTTCCTGCACACAGACCACACGTGTGCAGCCTGTGCTTTCCCGAGTTCCTGCTGACCACTGCCCCCACTGACTGGCTCTCAGGGGCTTCTTTTATCTCACAAGTGGGGGGACAGAAGCGTGGCTTCTTCACAATTGTCTGTGGCACGAAGTGGCCCGTAGGAGCAGCAGGGTTGCCTTGCCCCTCGTTACTGAGAACGGAAGATGCTGGCTGGCTGCAAGTGCTGATGCTAAGGGACGTTTCCTTTCATCAAAGAGCAAACAATTTGCTTTTGAAAGTTTGGAATTAGCCAGGGAGCACCTGAAAAAGGTCAGCAACAGAGAGCAGGGTGTTTCAGACTTAATCACTCATTAACAGAAGAACTCTGATCCTGGCACGTGTATTTCATACAGTTCAGATGAGACCTTGGCGGCAGCTGGAAATACAAGGTGAAAGTCAATGAAAAGCATCTGGTGTGTCTGATTACAATTATTAATATTGATTCTTCATTAAAAGTAGTCATTTCTAGGACAAAGACTAACCCAGGTGTGCAATGGGATAAAACTGAACTGTGGGCAAAAAGCACATTACCCTATTTATGGGTACAACAACTTTCAAATTTGGGCACTTCTGACACTATACTATATGCCTTTTAGCAGATTAATGGCACTCCCCTGGACTTTCCTCTTCCTGAGCTGATTTCTGAAGTTATTATACATCTTCAATGGCCAGTTTTTAAAAATTTGGTTTTTATTATTTCTTTGAATAGGTCTGAAAGAGCTTTTTCAGTCTCCTAGTAATAAATAGACAGCCTGGATTCTCAGCTAAAAAAGATGCATATGCTGAGGGGTAATGAATGTTAATATTGTTGAGTACCTCCTGGAGCTAATATGCATAAATCAAGAAAACATCGCCAGGTTCTTAAACACCATCTTGAAAGTCCAAATTTCTTTCATTAGCACACTGTTAAACTTTCAGGACTTCATCTAAAGATGAATCTCTATTTACAAAATAAGCTTTGATGTGATTTGAGAAAAAAAATAAAGATCTTGTGGTCCAAATATTCAGGAAATTTTAGCTTTTATCCAAGAATGTCATCCATATGGAGTGCTTAAGTCCTTAAGTCTCCTTTTTATCTCAGTGAAAGTGAGTGGACTCCATTCCTAGATTTGTCACTCCATGTGTGCCATCTCTGCACATTGTGCAGAACTGGGTTCCTGATGCCAAAGGAAAGGGTCTACCATTTGGAAGAGAGCTCCATGTGAGGCATTCATAAGCCTTTCTGCTTCAGTTCCAAATATGTGACAGTGCAGAGGACTCTTAACTGTTTAAATATGGGAGAGACAAAAGACAGCAGGAATCAACTAACAGTGCTGAGGCATATTTAATCCTACATGCCGATTTACCTTCCTGGATATCTAGCCGGCAGGGGAAAGCCCCTTGCCCCTCTCCACGAGGCAAAGAATGCAGAGGGAGATGATGTTTATTCAAGAATTTAATAGGATTCTTACAAGTGAGTTTTACCAACTACATTGCATGGTTCTTGTGGTTTTTATTCATCTCTCTGGGAAAATAATTCTGTGTTCTTTCTAAAATTGTATTATTGACAGGTTTGGTGGCACACACCTGTTATTCCAGCACTTACAAGGCTGAGGCAGGAGGATTGCCACGAATTTGAGATTAGTCTGAAGTAAATAGTAGTTCAAGGCCAGCCTGAAATATAAAGAGAGACCCTGTCTCAAATTTTTTTGTTGAGTGCCTATACTCTTTATTGGGACTGAAATTTTGTCCTGTATTTCCCTCTGTCTTAGTTATTTTATGCTCGTCGCTGAGACACAATACCTGAAGCCCAAAGTTGGGAAAGGAAAGGTTTATTTCTTACAGTTTTTGGAGGTTTCAGTCTACACTCAGTTGGCTCCCAGCAGGCAGGCATGGCTGGACCGAAGTTCATGGCGGCTGCAAACAGCAAGCTGAACCTGCAAAGAGCAAGACACACCTTCTTCCTGCCATTACATCACATCCTGGCTCCACCCCTATGTGGGTGGAGCACTGACACCACCAATCCAAGCACTAGACAATGAACCAATCACAAATACACAATGCAAACTCATGAGGCCTGGGGGACACAGACATAAACCATGACACCCTCTTTTTCTCAAATAACTTCTATTCATTCATTCATTATTCTACTTTTTCCTTTATTTCTCCATCCATGTTTGCCAGTTCTTTCTCTCATTTTTAGAGTCATGGTTAGAACAGGGAGATATGAGCTGTCTTTGTTCTTACAGCACCATCCGATCTGGTAAATATCTGGTTACACTGCTCATCTCTAAAATTAATTGAGAGCACTGTAGATCTGCTACTTCTGGATATGGGAATATGGAGACTAATAGTAATACTGTAAATCTTTCTTTTATTCTCAATTATGATAATCCTGTCAGATTTTTTTTTGAAAATGAAATTTATTAAAGACATAGTTTTAAGAGTGCCCAGGGAATATTTGGATTACAAAAAAAAAAGGCCCATTTTTGGTACTGATGGATTTGTCTTTTCTTTATGTGCTATCCATAATTCCTATTGTAACTTGTAGCTACCCATTGTTGTATATTGAGCATCTCTGTTTAAAAGAAATCACATACCCTTGTCTCAAATAGTAATTGAATAAAGAAAAATACATGCACTTGTGCTGTGAAAAAGCTATGAAAGTGCTATGGAAAAGTTATTCAAGAAATAAATCATACTGTCCAACTTAAGGAAACATTATACAGATGAATTTCTGAGTATATTAAATGTTGCTTGGCGGAAATGAATGAAAAATATTTCACAAGAAGAAATCCTCTGGTAACATGGCCCTAATTTCAATCCTCCATTTCCTGGAAAGCCCCTCATAAACCTTCCCTGGGGGAAGTCTGTGATAACTAACCCCAGCCCCATTTGCTAGTTCTAGTTACAAACCTTTAGGGGAAAATATTGGGTGCCTCTGGGGACAGGTCTGTACCATAGGACAATGACAGCCCTATGTCCCTTTTGAGAAGTTCACTGACATAGGAAGTTCTTCACTGACTACCCAAGGATAACAACTTGTTAATTTTTTATTTTGCTTGATAAGTTCTAATGAGATTTAAAAAATGTGATGAGTTCAGTATTCAGATAAATGTTTCCATTTACCCTGTGCCTCCATTTCCACTTTCCAACCTTTCTCTCTCTTCCCTCACTTGAAATCTTCAGTTTATCATTTAAAAAGTTGCATCAAATTTTAGCAGCTTACCTATAAAAAATATGGAATAACAATTAAAAGGTTGGAAATACTTTTTAAAAAATCATAATGATAGCAACTATTCCACATTTAAGAGACTTTTTAAAATCACTGCAAAGCAACAGAATAAGAATAACTTGCATCTTTTTCAGTTTCTCTGTTTGCTTAAATATGAATGCCGGACTTCCTGGAATGCTTTTAAAAAGCTGATAATATGTGATATTTGATTTACAAGAAACCTTGTAAGCAATCTCATTTTATTCAGAAAATAATAATTGTCTTGAGAGTCAATTTAATGCTATAATTATAGTCAGTATGTTTTATTTGAAATCGTAGACACAATAAAAATAAAGATTTCACTTTCATAAACTCATTATTTCTTATTTTAAAAAATAAAAGAAAAGCTCCCCCAAATTTAATGAAGCCATTACAGAAGAAATGGGGTAATCAATTTCTAATATATAACACCATGGCAATGAAATGAGCTATAATTTAAATAAAGGCTTCTTCTGTTAGGTTGGCAAAAATGCAGAGACAGCATTTGTTAGCATCCCATTTCTCTCACAGTCAGAGACGAGGCTAATCAAAAGACGCTAAGCTTAATAACATTCCCATTTCATCTACCATTTATTTCCTCAAAATATACAGCTGGCTTTGAGACAGTCTCCCTGCCCCTTGGAAAAAAATAACTTCAAGTAACTTTAAGGAATGAATTTTTTTGGTTGAAGTTTTAGAAAGAATAAAAGCACACCATGACTTAATTTCACTTGGTAGGATACGTACCCCTGAAGCACATGCACTGCTTAATTTTTGTAATCTCAAATTTCAGCTTCATCGTCTGAAACTAAGGAGTTTGGAATAGGGCTCCAGTGTAGCTCAGTGGTGCAGCGAACAACTGTCTGCAAGGGTGAGGCCCTGGGTTTGATCCCCAGTTAGAAACAATAAATAAATTATAAAATGTTTCCAGTGTGTATCATTAAACATATGACTAAAAATGTCCTGACTCCTGAAGTGAAAGAGGCTGCCCAGGAGCTCACACACAGTACATTTGAGGGACTTTTTTATTTTTTTTGGCAGAGATAAGCGATCACAGTCTTTTTATGCGCATCTTGTGGCTTCTCTGGCATATAGCCCACAGCGACTATATTCAAAGTGCACTCATTAGCTTTCAATTGCGTGTTTCTTCTATATTCTCAGAAAATTGCTTGAGTTTCTTTATTAGGAAGAATATAAATTATTTAGTTACTAAACCCCCCCCCTTCGTTTTATCCTCAGTATATTTTTTTTCCTCTGACATCTATTTGACTGGTCTTCCTTCTTTAAAAAGGTTAAAAATGGAGTGAATTGTGGGAAGAGGAGCGATTTTAGAGCCTGCTGAACTCAGGTGACTCTGAGTCAATAATTCACCCTGGTGAACGCAGTTTTCTCATCTTTAAAATGCACATCATGACAACCCTGTCACCAGATTGTTGTGAGATATTTTATATAAGTGTCTAATACGTGCCTGGTACAAAATAAATAACAGCTCTTGTAGAAGTAATATGTTTCTTCTTGATTTTAAAAATCCATACCTCTGCCTTTCTTTTTATTCCTCCTTTCTTCTGCATCTTAAATCTTTGTCTTACACCTGCCTTTCTCTGCTTTTGGACACACACAAGCCGTTTTCCTTCAACCTAAACATCTGCCATCCTCAGCTGATCTTGCTTACCGAAGGGAAAGCCATCATCTCCGGAAGATGAGGCCTGCTGCTTCCCTTCTCCGCTGTGTCCAGAGCCATTGTCTCTGTTTCTTCTTCACGCTGTTTGAATTCACTACCTACAAGTCATACTCTTTTTCAAAACATAACAGAAATCATACTTTCAAAGATTTTTGACAAACTATTGCATAGCAAATAAAATGATCTTTAGTTATCTACAGAAAGGGGACACCTGCTACCATCTGAGAGTAATCTGTCTTAAGGAATAAGCACTGCTCTTGGAGATTGTGGTTATCCCAGATGAGGCCAGATATATTTCAGTGCAACTACAATTTCTGGTAAAGTAGTTTTTGGTTAAGAAGTGAGCATGGATTTTTCTAGAGTGTTACTAGACTAGCACTGTCTTTTCTTACATGATTTAACTCCTCACACTAAACTCTATTTTATTACAAAAGTAGTAAGTCCATTATCCTTAAGAAATTCTACAATAGAGAAACACATACAGTTCCATATTGTTTTAACTTTACCTCTTCTCCTAGTCCAGCTGTATGGTCTCCAGCCTTTAACTAGATTATCAGTTCAAGGAAGGGAAACATTTGGAAATGGGCTTGGTAATAAAGCTACATTTCTCCCAGGTCAGGAGGGATACTCTGGGAAAGGTGGAAACTTGCTGGTCTCATCTTTTTTTCTTCCCCTTGTAGCCAGCTTCCTCTTTCAGGAATTGAATTTGATGGTGAATGCATTAAATGTGAAGAGGGAGGACCAAGGTGGGAGGGGGACATGATAAAAGCTCTACAACTCCATCAGCAATTGTTAGCCATCCTCTCACCTGGCCAGCCTCTAGCTCTCAACTGTGAGGAACTCACACACAGGGTTGCACTTGCCTGGGAAAGGCAGCCCACGTTTACCATGCCTACGACCAGCACAAAGTAGCACTCTGCTCCCAGGGGAATGAGTGGGCCTGGCACCACAGTGATGATGCTCTCCAAAGGGGCACTGTAGTTGATATTTTCTTCCCTCCCACTTGAACCCCTTTTGCTTTACTCAACCAAAGAATGATAGTTATGAAGATGGTTCTTTGAAAATCCTGTTGAAAATCTGTATATACTGATATAGGATCTCATTACAGAAAGTCATTGTGGCACTCAGCAAATGCTTTACTTTTAAGACCTGTTATGTGCATATATGGAAGAGATTTTTTCATGTTAGTGTATTGTTTTGATAAGAGTGACTATTTGGACTAAAAGTTATTAAGGATCTTGTTTCAGTAAACATAATTAGGCTAAGCTGTGAAGAGGTTTAATGTAGAAGCCTTTTACTTTTTGCGAAATACTATATATTTCTACACATTATATGTGCATTCCTTTCCTACACTTATGTAATATTCCTTGAATCCTCAGGAAAAGACCCAAGTCCTAGGCAGTAGAACTTCAGCAAAGGTCTAAAAAGAGAATATATAATTTTTGTTTAAGTGATATCACCTATCCAGGAGAGGATCATGGACTCACAGACTCATAAACGCAGGTGCTTACCAGATTCCTTCACCTGCAGACACAAGAGAGAAGAGTAAACAGATGTGGTACCTGCTAAGAGGAGCTATGGACCTCTTGATTATTCATTCATTTGTTTAATTATTCAGTATTTTTAATTGAGCACTTTGACATGGTGATAAACACACAAACAAAGACCAGAGTATGTTATTGAGTTTATTCTTCTGCTGGGAGAGATGAATACTAACTAGAGATGCTGGGCTGATATGTAAGTCAAGGTAATACATAATATGTGACTGAGACATTGAAGTGAGGGCTCCATAGAGTTATTCTGAGCAGGTACTGAACAAAGGCACGAAGCCACCAAGAGAAGAATCTTTCTATCAGGAAAACAGGGAGAGCCTTTGGAAGCTGCAGCCTACTCTGGCTGTGGTTGCAAGTGGGTTCAGGCCTGTGGGTTGCAGAGGCTTCCTGGGAGACCCCTGGGATTGAGTCACTAGGGTGGTGTCTGAGTTGACGCCTGTCAGTGTTCCCAGTAGGCTCCAGCTGGAAGGGCCTGAAG